TATGAGCTGCCAAGTGGGTGCTGGGAACTGAACCCGGGTCCTCCAAAAGAACAGCCAGCGCTCTTTACCGCTGCGCCATCTCTCCAGCCCCTGGATGAGGAAACTTTTTAAAATTAGGATATAATTTTGTTGAGTTTAAGATAAACCTAAAGGCGGGGCGGTCATGGTACATTCCTTTGGTCCTAGCACTCAGGAGGCAGAGGCAGGTGGATCTCTGTGAGTTTGAGGCCAGCCTGGTTTACAGAGCTAGTTCCATGACAGGGTCCAAAGCTATACAGAGAAACCCTGTCCCAGAAACCCCCCCCCCAAAAAAAAAATGAACCTAAAAATACAGGAATTGGGCTGTCATACAGTTCTGTGGGTGAAGGTGCTTGCTGCCAAGTCTGATGACCTGAGTTCAATTCCTAGGAACTAACCTGGTAGAATAGCATAAACATAATCCACAAGCTCTCCTCTGAACTTCAGATGAATACTGTGGCACATATGCCCGATAGTACTGCTCCCAGTGAGTGAATGAATGACTCAATCCATCCATCCATCAATCAATCAATCAATCAATAAAGCAGGTTTGACTTTTTTCCCCCTTGAATATCTTTAGTCCACGGTTAATTGAAGGCATGGATGTAGAAGCCACCGCTATACAGAGCTGACTGTATTTGCTGTCAGGACTGCTCTGAGTTCAGTGGATCCGAATGTAGAGGAAGGAGGGGTTAATGGATGGCTGTGGTTTGATGGGAGAGAGAGGGAGGGCTTAGAGCAAAAGGCTAGCACCAACATTTTCCTCACCAGCGGGAAGATTCTAAGCTCGATTATACTTGTTCTGCCTGGCAGTTAAAAATAGGAGTGTGCCTTTTAATTTAGCAAACATTCTTTATCCAGAGCACTCACTCTACCGGGCGGGCACTGTGAGTGCTGTCAAATGTAATAAGACACGCCTATGCCTTTAAACAGCTTGCTGTCTTCTGACAGAGCCGCCAGGACTGAAACAGTAGGAAAGCATTAACCCAGGGGAGTGGAGTTCAGTTGCTGAGAGCAACTAAGGCAAAAGGAGTTTAATTGGCTTGGAACAGCTTGAGCCAGGGCTTAGGTAGGGTCCCCAGGTTTCACCAGCTAAATCAGGCTGTCACCTTTGTTCATCGACTCACCAACACATTCCTCACATTCCAGAGTTCCCAGAGGGGAGTGCCTCTTTCAGATGCCCAGGGAAGGTTCCATCGCTTTTCACTGGTTCTGATCAAACCACAGTGCCACCTCTGAGTCAGCGGTGGTCAGAGAGTGAGATACACTGATTGTCGTAGCCCACATGACAACTGACACACCTGGAGCCTGAGCTGCATGGTGCCAGCTGCATGCATAGCACATTGGCCAAGAGCAGCCTAAGGTACCACAACCCTCAGAAGGGATGTACATGCTGACAGGCCCAAGAATCTGCCAGGGCTTTCCACAAAATAGTGATAGAAGATGTCTTAGGATTTCCATTGCTGTGAAGAGACACTCTGACCTTGGCATCTCTTATAAAGGAAAACATTTAATTAGGTATGGCTTACATTTTCAGAGGTTTAGTTCATTGTGTTATCATGATGGGGCATCGTGTGCAAGCAGACAGGGTACTGGAGAAATAGCTGAGAGTTCTACATCTTCATCCACAGGCAGCAGAAGACTGTGCCATACTTGAACATATAAGACCTCAAAGCCTGTCTCCACAGTGACAGACTTCCTCCAGCAAGGCCACACCTATTCCAACAAGGTCACACCTTCTAATAGTGCCACTCTCTATGGCCAACCATTCAAATATATGAGTCTGTGGGGCTGTCATAGTTA